GTTCACAGGACAGCTCGCTTTCAGAAGAAAACAACATACGAAAACCTGGCCCGAACACAAGGTCTTAAGTTTCCGGACAAATTACAGGTTATTCTAGCCACCGCATTTTGAAAAATTGAGGTGGAGAACACGGGCACTGCTGCAGATACAGAAGAGTGAGTTTTGAGGACCAGTCAGGAAAAAACCCTAAGAAAGATTTTTAGCTGAGTTACCACAGTGAAAAAGTTTTCAGAATGCCCTCCTGACGGAACTCTGTAATCTGATGGGGGAGGTGAGGCTCACGCCGCACGCCCAGAAGGCTGCGCCGGCGCTGGAACCTGGAATCCTTGGCGGGGGTGCGGAACTTGCACTGGCTTTCCCGGATCAGGTAGAGAAGCAAGAACAGGAGGCCCATCGGTGGGACTGCTACATTAAACTGGGAAAGCCAAGAGTATTGACATGCTTCCTCTGAAATGGGGTTTTCAGTACCTCACAATCTCAGGAAATCTCAGGAAATCCCGCCCTGGCGAGCAGTTTTATTACAGCTCTTCGGTAACGTTACGCAGAAGCGGCAACCTGCACAGAGCACCACTGAGCAGCTCGGAAGGAAAGAGAGGAACGTTCCAGGATGCGAGTTCGCATCCTTAGGAACAAACTGAATGACCTTTATAAACAAACACACATTCAGTGTTTCTGCCAAAGAAACTTGATTCATATTCCTGAGTAAATAAACCATGAATTAACAAACATGTTTCTCTACACAGGATCACAAGCTAATACACTTTGCACTTCTGTTCAGTGGAGGTTCCACAGCTTTTTTATGTAATTCAAGAAACTGTTAGAAGCATTCTAACAATAAATTAGAATAATTTATGTAAGGAGATGATTCAAGTATTAATTAATAGTAACAGCTGCATTTGATCTTCAATTATCTAAGGGTAATCCATGTCATGTACCATTGCAAAGAGCAGATCTTCAAATACAAGCCCAGGATATTTAGGTTTCATGACTTGTGTCTCAAAAAGAAGACAGGTATTTCCTTAATGCAGATTTTGAGAAACTTCTTAAATAAGGAATAAGGCTGAAAACAATGCACTATTTAAGTCCCCAAAACAGAACTTAACAGTAAATGGACTTGGTGCTAACTCGTCTGCTTAGAGATAATAGTATTAAACAAATTGCCGCAAAACATTTGTGTTGGTGATTTATGAATTACAAGGTGCCACTAAATGAAGCAAATAATGATGGCATGTAGTAAGCAGTAGGAGTAAAACCAAAACCACCAATAATGGCCATAACAACCACAGATAAACTAAAACATAATGGTAAAATAACCCATTTCATTTGGTAAACGCTAATAATTTAATTCAAAATATATGCCGTCTGCACAGAATATTATGTCTGTATCTTTATTCCAAGCAGTGTTATACAGTTCCCTGGGAAGCACATACTCAGATCTTCCAAAGGAAAAAAAGAAACAATTTAATGAACCAATATGCATCCAAAATCTTTAAGTTCATTTATATTTTTTTTTCATGTACAAGATCAAAGAAATAAAAAAGCCACAGAATCAAACCCTGAACACAACAGTTTGAGCTGACTGGTTTTTATACACACAGTCTGTTGCAAGGTACTCAAAATCAGAAACAATGCTCACATGTGTCATATAACAAAATGAAAAAGAGGTAAATAAAAAAAGTTAAAGTACTAGCATGTACATGGATGTAGTATATTAAGAAATAAGTTTATTTGAAAACTCATACTTTTCTGTATTTAAAATAGGCCTTTAAACCCTTCCTTTCCCCTAAACAGCATTTGTTGTCAAAAGTCAAACCCAGCCCCTTCCCAAGTTACATTCTAACAGTATTACCAGGATACAAACTCTAATTAGCCATGGCCCGTTATAGCTGTATCACCAACACTTTGTATGCCACCCCCAGTGAAACTTCCCAGCTGGCACAGCTGTTGTATTTATACTATGAGCAGACAGTGTACATTTAGTAAAGTAAATGTTCAGAACCTGAAATATTACAGTGAAATATTGTCAGCAATAAACACAGAACATAAGAATTACTTATGCTTTGAATACTTAAAAGTTCTGCCATAAGACTGTTTAAAGCCAGAAACTTTTTTTAAAAGAGAACTCTTAAAAAGCTGATTTTATTGTTGCTGTACTTCATCTGATACATTTTCTCCATTACAAACATTAAAAGCTTACAGTGTAAAGAATCACTTTTAACTCAACCACTATTTGGTTCACGGCTGAGTAAAGGTCTGGCCTAAGACTTTGGCAGTTGTTTTACCCTGGAGGTATTGTTTCACACAGCACCCTCCTGTTCCAAACCTCTGCTGTTTTGTTACGGTAGTAATATGGAAACATAGTTTATTATTTTTTTACCTGTTCAAGGTCTTTGAACCAAGACACTTAACTACCTAAACAGCAATGAATGAGGCATCAAGTCTGTAGGTTCACAATTCTCATAAACACGTGACTTCACCAGAAAACTGCATCAGTTTTCCTGGTAAGAAGCACAGCCTTCAGTATGATAATCAGTGTAGCCAAACAGCAGTCAAGACAGGCCAGCTAACTCACAGCAGCTGCAACCTGCTCTGCTGGGAGTATGCTTTAGTATGACAAAACGTAAATTTACAGAGGTACAGACTTACCAGCAAATGAACAAACTGCGTTTGCTAAATGTGACCTAATGATGAGCCATATCAGTTGAGTCACACTAGAGCTCAGATCCACAGCTATTTTAAGCTGTTCTAGCACCAATGGCTGTTTGTTAGGCCAGTCAAGCTGATGAGCTGGCCTCATGAGTTGGCATCACAACCAGATGCCAATAAGTGACCAATTCTTTTACCAAAGTCAGTCTTGTCACTAAACTAAAAAAGCCTTAGGACCTTCTGTTTTAGATTCAGGCTGACAACCTAAAGAAATCTTCAAAAGAGAGAGATTTATCATAATTACAGTAGTATTAGTCAGCCCCCCCCAAACCCGTTTGCTGAAAAGATATTTCTGCTATCTCGACAGTTAACACTAGCAAAAATAATGAAAAAAAAACCAACAAATAACCCCTCCAAATGAATAAAAGAAACACAATGCCCATTCAGTATTTAAATTCTGTGCAGACACATCTCTGCTGTTGCCGCTCATTTGCTACTAAAAAAAAACACCCCACCAACATAAAAAGAGCTACTTTTCCCTACTACATAATAAAACTTTATGACTGTAGGTCTTTGCCTTCCATCTGTTTTTTCAAAATCTCAGGGGGATGAGCTTTTATTTTCCACCTTCTGGAATCACATCCAGCCAGCAGTTCACCACTGACACAGCAGTTTACTGTGTCAAGTTCTTCTGTTACATTTTTTACCGAACACCAGCGATCCGTTTCCCATGTGTCCCTATCTGCTGCCACCCTTCCTGGCAAGGATCTACATTTGTCATGTAATCATTTGTCTTCCAAACCTACTCTGTATTCCTATCACTTCATCTCTGCCCTTTTCACCTACCTTCACACAACCAGATGGAAAAAAGCCTTTAGTGATCCACATTCTGGTGTATCAGTAAGATCTTGTTAAGTGTTATTAGACCTGGCAAACACACATTTACACTGAGTGCTACATCTCTTCCTCTCTCCACATAGCCTGGATTAAGCGTAGAGAAAAGTTTTAATGCCTTTCATTAAAAAAAAAAAAAATAAATGTATCTTTCAGTATAAAAACCTTAAACTCATAGATTATAAATAATATAATTTCAAAATACTTAAGAATTTTAGGACTTCATTTGCATTTCAGGGGCAGGCAAGCTTAATGTCCTTGATGCCTTCTCAGTCCCAAACCTCTGATAAAAAAGTATTTGTAGGGTATAAAATAGGTGGAAATACACAAAATGCCTTGTGTCCTGTACACCAGGTACAGCAAGTGAAAAACTTCAAGAACTCAGCAACTCTACCAGACACATCACAATATGCTTTAGCATTGTCATGGTAAAGTTACCATCTTTTTTCATGTATACAACTACATGTGTTTTGACCTTGTCAGTTAAAAACATTACTGAAAACAGTATGAACAAGTTGGGGTTTTTTTTCCCACTACATATGACATAAACAAGTTGTGCCACGTTTTCCAGACGTGACTGCAAAATCCTGTTTTTCCATTTAAGGTATTTGCCACAGATTTTACATATATAAAAATGGTTTGTTCATGTGTTAAGTTACAAAATTGTAGTGCTTAATATAATAAACTTTAAAATCTAAGATCTCTTTAAAAAAATGCTTGTTTATAATACATTGCTTTGTTTTTAAAAGGCAGCAGGCAGTACCAGTTGGGTTTATTGCAACAATATTGTAGTATAAAAATATTGCTGAACAATTCTGGTACTTTCAGATTGGAAGTATTTATTTTCTGAAAACTATACAGTAATATACTGAAAAAAAGAAACTGCAATAGTAGTGTTTGTGCCTTTACAAATATATAAAGAGAATTATTATGGCCGATATGGATCAGATTTCATCTGTATTCCATACAGCACAGTTAGCTACTTAGAACAAAAATACGATTTTTAAAGCTGAAGTAAGTTGGTAAAACAGCTTCTGATACTATTGTCATAAACACAGTAGTAAAACTGCTCTCATGGTCTGATGCTGTGCACATTTTTTGAACTAAGTGACCTAGCAGTCAGCTTTTGAGATTCCTGCAGGATTTGTGATGGTTAATCAATACCTAGGAGATCAGCCAAGGACATGAACAAACACCACCCAGTTTCTGTCCTTACAGTGAAACATTTCTGCCTGGTCTGAAAAGGTAAAGAAGTATACAGATCTGTAAAGTAACATGGTTTTTTTTTTTAAAGAAGATGTATATATGCATATATTTATGTATCTATCTATATGTATCTTATACTTAAATTAGTGTCAATCAAATCCAGGCAGAGATTAAACTGACCATAAAGATGACATAACAAAAGTCATTAAGGCAGTAAGGTGTATCTCTTGAGGATTTTCAGATATTCTACCTCTATATCAAGAGGAAAAAGAAATGTTGAGTTGCATTGTAGGCCAAATCATCATCAAACCATTACAGCCAGGTAAGGAAGGGCTCATTTTTGTTGAGTACGGACTCCACATCATTGAGAATAGGGATCAAGTCTTCTGACTCTAGAGTCCCAAGATCAACATTTGTTCCTGGAAGACAGTCGAGGAAATCGGGGAAACGCGTTTGCTGTGGATTTACGTTCATTGTTGTCTGTGGTATAGTTTCTCCTACAAAAAGAAAAGACGAACTTTTCAAATACCAAACTCGTCTTGTGGATCATTTAAAACAAAACAGGTGATATTACAATCAGACAACTCCTTTCCCATAAACACTCGTGAGTATTCCTGTTCTCTGCAAACGTTACCTCAAAACCATATTTGCTTGCAGAATGAATATTCTTCTAAGAGTTAATTTCATACCCTTGCTTTGGTCTCAGAAGCACAAAAGGCCCTTTCCAGCAGCATTCAAAGTAACAAGCCTCAGACCTTTCACTTGGGAATTGTAACAGTTCAACATTCACTAGGCTGTGCAGGGAGTGATGCAACTGAGCCTGATGTAATCCCTCAATCCTGCTCTCTGTCCATGTGGCATACTTAAAAAAAGGTGTCTTACAGCAATTTAATTCTGCAATATTGTATTAGGTTTTTCATAGATCAGTAACAACAAGCATGAAAATCTTTAATAGAGGAATTTTCACTCTTTGCATCATCTAGAACTTCTGATGACTACAAAAGGAAGTTTAAGTGAGGAAGTACTGAGAATTTCACTATCTGGGAAAAGTTTTGTTGATTTCTTGGTAATTTACTTCAGTATTTTAAACACCACAAGGACATTGATATAAAAATAAATGCATACTAAAACCTAATGTAGCTAAATACATTCTGTATGGAAGGAAATCCCACCATTTTAAGAGGCTTATGACTGAGGCTGATTTCCCAGAGTTAGAAAGCGCAGTGATTTGTACCAAGAATGTTACCCAAGACCAGATTTTTACTCCTCCTACCTTGGCCTATAGTGTGAAAACACAAATTACAGCTCATGTTTTCCAACTTTTACTTATTTTGTTTAACATCAGTCTAAGGTAAAAGGGCAGAATCTGGGCCTAAAATAAAGCCAAAAACCTTCTAGGCACCAAGTACCCTTTAGGAACTTCCCCCCTAGTCTCAGACTGTTCTCTTGCATAGGAAAGTAAGAGATTATTGTTCAGTTATGCAATTATAAAAGATTTATAAGAGATGTAACACAAAGTTATAGATAGTATTATGCTTTAAGCTAAATGAGAATATCCTACCTGTATCCATCTCATCCATGTTGCTGAGGAAATCTTCAGGTGTCGTTGGTATACTGTAGCATCCTAATCCCAAGCCACTGTCCGTGCTCTGTTCCCTGGAATGGTATGGCCCACTATAAATTGAAACATGAAAAAGCCTCAGTAAAGATGGTCTGGTAGACACAGTCCCTGATCATGGTGTTTGAAAAAAGACAGCACAGTAGGTTAGATATTAAAGTTCAATACCCATTTCTCAACCGTTGGCCACTCACGTGGTCATGTTACATCAGCCTAAATATAAAGCAACAGAAGTGAGGCCACTCTTAAATTTTGAAATACACACATATATACAAAATGCTCTAGACAAAACCAGTTCTGCTAGACTAAAAAAACTGTATTTATTTATACTTGGTAACGTAGCTATTCTACCTAAAGTCTTCTACATACAACTATGGTATCATGTAAACCACCTATTACCATTTGTTTGACTTTTACCAAGATTCCTTCTTCAAGTATAAACTAAAAGACTTCAGGTCAGCCACTCAACTGTATTCCATGTTCACAGCAAGTACAAAAGAAGATGCAAAGAAGGAAAGTACAAAAGTACAAGTACAAAAGAAGAAGGAAACTACTGAGAGAAACAGCTTTAAAAGTGTAGAGAAGGCAATAGAAGCAGTTGCCTGATGATGAGGACATGAACTTGCCTGTTCAAGAAAGGATCAGATCCATTATTTGTAATAGGCCTTATGTCTTGTGTCATGGCAGGTGTATTCACAGCTGCTGGAACAGGCACCATGTTTTCTGAGTCCATGGGAAGTTGTCTGCATAGAGCAGCCTCCTGAAAAGCCAAATAAATGTAAAGGAAGCGTTACTCCCACAGCTCAGAAGTAATGTGGTCTTGTAACAAGCTAACATGTAATATATACACATCTTCTTACCTAGGAAAGTCATTCTAAACGATGTAACAGATGACTGTTCACATCAGTGTGAAATAAATCATAATGGGGACAGACAGCATCTTTCATACCCACCTGTGCTGACTTAAACCACTGCAGAATCTACCTTTCACTTACTGCCATACCTGGAAACCAGTCCCATAGCTCAGCCAGCAGGCAGATGTGTTTGAGGACTTTCTCCTCAGCTCCACAATAAACCACAGAGCCTGTCTGCTGTCTTTTTAAATTAGCCTCACTCTTTTTGTCTGATGCAGATCAGAAAATGCTCATGTAAATGGCTTTACTGGCACATTGCTGTCACACTGGCAAACCTCTAGTGAATTGTAGGAGCAGACAGACAGGGGAAAGCCAGACCTTGAAGAAGCACAACCACCTCCAGAACCATTGCTCCTCTGTAGCCTTCCTGACCACAGAGATAATCATGCTACCTATGTTACATCTTTGGACACCTTGTGTGACACCTCATCCTAAAATACTAGCAGGCCTCCACATTACAGGTGGTTATCAACAGTGTGACCATACCTCATGGGCCAGCTAACTCCAGCTGAAGGTTTTCACATGATAAAACACAGAGCTGTGTAACACTCAAATTACAGTTTCAGTTTACTGTGCAGTGAGGCTCTCTTCTTAGAGAGCTGGAGTTGCAGTAATAAAGTAGTTTAAAACCTACAGACTCAAATCTTTCATGTATCTAACAGCTTACCCTAAAAGAAGTTGCTCTCAGTTTAAATGGGTGCAAGAGAGAACAAAATCAGGCACTGAAACTATGTGAGCTGCCACTAGATGATGTAATTTGCTATATACTGAAGCAGAAGAGTATCACTTGCAACCGTAAAGTACCTAACACGCTAGAAGAAAACCACTGGAACCAAGACTTTGACCCAATAATCTTTGGAATGAACCCTATGCCTAATAATAAGCATCTGCCTAATGACCTCTCTTATGTACACTGCCTTTAGAATGACAAGCAACTCTTCCTGAAAGATAAATTCCTCTGGCATTATCTCAGTGAAACATCCATGACATCTAGTGGTACAGAGGTCTATATAAAGGTTGTTTGGCTCCATGGGGATCTTCCAAACAAATATCCTAAGGCCTTAAAACAATAAAGCTCTATCCGTTTTTTACCTAGTTTACTCAACCTTATTATTGCTATTATTATTTTTAAATGAAGTATTTAATTTAAATCCTAATAGAAAATTTCTCTCCACTGAATCAGTCATTCGTTCTCTCAAATGCAGAAAAGATTAATGTGTTTTTGAGGCCATAATATGAGGTTCTACTACATTTTCAGTTCTTTCTTCATTGAGGAGGTCTCTTCATGAATAATGTAACAACTATTCATTGGGAATTAACATAAATGGCCTCAAGCTGCACCAGGAGAAGTTTAGATTACGTACGGGGAATAATTTCTTCCTGGAAAGGGTTGTCCAGGCCTGGCCCAGGCTGCCCAGAGACATGGTGGAGGCCCTGTCCCTGGAGGGACTGAAAAGCTGTGTGGATGTGGTGCAGAGGGATGTGGGTTAGTGGTGACCTGGTAATCCCGGGGCAACGGTTGGACTCAATGATGTTGAGGGTTTTTTTCTAACCAGAATGATTCCATGATTCTATATATTGGTGCCCATTAACGCAATGTTTCCTTTATTATCCAACCATCAATATATCCACTGCTAAATAATTTACATTAGATGGTGTCATTATTTAAAGAATGAATAGTCTGAAGCTTCTTAATAATTTATGTATGTCATTACAGTTGTCAAGTAACAATTCAAATGGTGATGATCTTCCCTGCAAGATCCTTTCGGGGATTTCTTAGTGACATCACCTCTAACTACTTCCACTTCCAAGAAGCTCTTGAGCAAGCACATTCTCCCTTTTCCTTTGGAAAGCTGACGAAAACAAATTGGTAAGAAAGAAAATGAATTCTTTCCAAACTGACAAAACTGAGTAAGGAAACATTTAAATAAAGTCATCATACCAATCGTCTGAAATGCTGCCCTTCTTGCACGCACGCAGTCTGCAGCTCTAGAGGCTTTACCAACTAAACGAAGAAGAGGACAAAGAAGGAAACAAATTCCCTAAGCAGAGAGCTTCCAGAACTGTGTATCCCTCCTGGCTGGGTGTGCTGCTCCACCCCAGCAGCTGCAGCCAGGCATGGCTGTGGGGAGCCAGCAGCTGCTGCCAGGCTGAAAGGAGCTGAAAGGTGGGTCACAACCCACTGAAAGAATTCCTTCCCTCTCACTCAAACTCTCTGCACTTCTTTGCAGTTGCTAACAGCAGTGTGCACACTTACTCAGCGTCTTCCCTTAGGTTACACTAGTAAAGCAAAAGCAGCAGTGAAAGGTTAGGGCAGGAGTAACTGTACTTGAACACTGATGACTCCAGAGGGCTCTGTCGCACTCTTCTCAGCTGCCAGGGTTCAGGAGCACTCAGGTTACTGGCAGGAAGTTCATAAACTTCTGTTAGGAAGGAAGGATTTTGCATCTCGCTTTTCTTAGGTGGGAAATATGACAACAGGGAAAATAGGTTGTCCAAAAGCTACAGCAGTTCTGAAAACTTCAGCAATGCAAAGTGATACAGCCCTGCTTTACGGAGCTGAAACACCATAGGTGCAGGGTGGTACTGGGCATAGGTTGGAGGCTTGGTTAAGTACAGCACAGCTGCAGAGTGCTGTGCATGTGTCAGTTTGAAAGCAAAACACAGTCAGCAGAGCAGGGACACCAGGCCTTGTGTGAATTGCACAACTGTTTTGAAGCTTAATTTGCTCTTGTCCTGAAGCAAGAACAGAGCCAAAGAAAGTAAAAATAGCTAAACACATTATTAGCACGATGCCAATTGTGACTAAGCTCATACCAAATATCCCCACTCTCTTCCCACACCCATCTCCATTCTGTTCTGAGCTCTGGAAAGTAAAGGAGAAAGTATACAAAAGACTTTAGATGATGCTCAGCTGCGAGACCACCAGCCGGAACACAGTTCTGCACACACAGATAACGCATCATAATGTAGCTCCCCAGAATTAAGGGTAGTGGAAACAGGGCACAAGATGTTGGTGTCTGTACAGTTTCCAGACTCAGGTCTGAACCATGAAAGTCAAATTCAGTCGTGACATGAGAAGGTGAAAAAATTCAGAAACTTCAGTTGAATCACATCTGTCTTTCCCTCCTGTTCAGCAAGAGCACTAAGCACAGGCTTAACTTTGAGCATGTACACCAAAAATGATGGGAATAATCACATGCAAAGATAGCAAAGTGTTGCTGCAGGAACTATAAAAGCACATTAATTTGAATGTTTTGGGTTTTTTTCCCCAAATGCAGCTAGATGGTGCTATACAGTTTCAAAATGTTGTAAAGTGGTTTAGCATATAATTCTCATTAACATTCTTTAAGTTCTACTTGTCAGACATCTACTTTCATTTTGTTACCAATCTCTCTTTTACTAAAGCCTAGTTTATGATAGCGTGTACATTCATTCTATGTTTCGTCTGTCTGCACAAGATAAAGTTACAAAGGTTCCAGTGGTGTAACAGGAGAGAAATTTGTCTTACATACAGACTTAACACAATCTGTAATTCTGTGATTTTGTGAAAGTTACCATTTTTAAAGGTACTATAACTGCAACTGCAGCATTTACAAGGACAAAAATCATTGTGTTATTCTTGATAAAATGTACTTCCTTCATGCTATTCTTGAGAGAAATAGATTATTTATTTTCTCAAAGGAAGCTGATTAATATACCATGTTAAACAAATCACCAGTGGAGATTTCTGTAACAGAAGAAACACAATTGTTAAAACTTTTTACTTCCTTAAGGCAGTGTAAAGGAAGTTACATACTTGTTTTGTACAACATGAGTCACTATGCAGAGCTGAAACTTAAGAAATAGAACAATAAACAAAACATCCATAAAGAACCATCTCTGGAAAGTGTTCAGATCAGAGATATTCATGCAAGATATGACTATGGTTTTATTTTAATTCAGAGACAAAAAGTGAAAGTTATAGCGTTGGGATCAGGGTCAAGAACAACTCCATATGTTCTGCCTTTATCCAATGAAGCATGAACAAGGTCTACAATGCAAACCAAGTTAAACCAAAAATTAATCACTGATGGTTGCTATAGGTTTATAAACAGACGCAAAACAGAATTTGGTCCTTACACTACTATTACAGTGATCAGAAAAATACCAGGTATGTAATCCCTGACAGATGGCCATTTGTCTGTTCTGTTCAATAAAGGTTCTATTTGTATTGGCTTTCTAGTTTTCCTTACCCAAAACAATGGTTAATCTTGACATAAATAACAGAGCTACTAACTGTATCTGGTAAAAATTTGGATTCATTGAACTAAAGACTTCAAAGGTTGAAAGAAAGGTTCAAAGAACAAAAAAAAAGTGCCCTTACCTGTCGCAGTAACTCCTCCTGACGCATCCTAATCCGCTCCCTCTCCATCTGGATTCTCTGGAGCCTCAGCTTCTGCTGCTGCTGCTGCTGCGTGGTCAGTGCACTGGGCAAGTTCAACAGCCCTGGCTGCGGCACCTGGGGAGGACGACTCTGCTGCGGCATGGCTGTGCTGGGCGTTACTTGGTGCTGGTGATTCAAGACTGTGAGGAAGAAAAGAAACCACAGCTGGTTGAGTAAAATTATACTTTAAGATAGCAGAGGGCCTAAGACACGTGTTGCTCCTTCATAGTATAGTTATTAGAATTACTGTATCTCAAATGACCAAGATAACAACTCCATCTAGCAAGATCTGGTACTAGCAACTGCTTAGTAAATTATTTTGAATATTTATTTTTTGTATAAAACATGAATACTAACAATACACAAGTATTTATATTCATTTTGGTATGTTCAAATATTTACTTAATGATATGTAGTAAATGACACTACAGTGACAAGTGGTGTCCCTCAAGGGTCCATACTGGGACCGGTGTTGTTTAACATCTTCATCAATGACACAGACAGTGGCATCGAGTGCACCCTCAGCAAGTTTGCTGACGAGACTAAGCTGAGTGGTGCAGTTGACATGCCAGAGGGATGGGAGGCCATCTAGAGGGACTTGGAGAGGCTGGAGAGCTGGGCTCAGGTGAATCTCATGAGCTTCAACAGGACCAAGTGCAGGGTCCTGCACCTGGGGAGGGACACCCAACATCACCAACACAGGCTGGGAGAGGACCTGTTAGAAAGCAGCCCACTGGACAAAGACTTGGGGGTACCAGTAAATGAGAAGCTGGACATGAGCCAGCAAGGTGCAACAACAGCCCAGAAGGCAAATCAAATCCTGGGCTGCATCCAAAGAAGTGTGGCCAGCAGATGGAGAGAGGTGATCCTGCTGCTCTGCTCTGCCCTGGTGAGACCTCACCTGGAGCACTGTGTCCGGCTCTGGAGCCCCCAGCACAGGAAGGATGTGGAGCTGTTGGAACGTGTTCAGAGGAGAGCCACAAAAATGATCCGAGGGCTGGAGCACCTCTCCTATGAGGACAGGCGGAGGGAGCTGGGGTTGTTCAGCCGGGAGGAGGCTCTGGGGGGACCTTATAGCAACCTTCCAATACCTGAGAGGGGCCTACAAGAAAGCAGGGGAGGGGCTGTTCACAAGGGTTTGTAGTGACAGGATGAGAGGTAATGGCTTTAAGGTAGAAAAGAGTAGATTTAGGTTAGACTTTAGGAAAAAGTTCTTCAGTATGAGGGTGATAGACCACTGGAATAGGTTGCCCAGAGAGGTGGTGGAGGCCCCATCCCTGGAGACATTCAAGGTCAGGCTGGATGAAGCTGTAAGTAGCTTGATCTAGTTGGAGATGTCCCTGCTTGTGGCAGGGGAGAGTTGGACTATATGACCCTTGGAGGTCCCTTCCAGCCCAGACATTCTATGATTCTATGACATGCAAGTTTATTTGACTGAAAACAAATGTGTCCCCATAACATGCAGAAAGCTAGTACAAACGTTTTCAGTCTTAACATTTTCTTGACAGATCTAACTCAATTATTGCAAGAATAATTACCAGCATAAATAATGAGCACTGTGTGTGTTTTCCACCACTATGAAGGAGATGCACACTTTTTTCAGTGACACACAGATGAGAGATCTTCCAATAAGAAGCAAACCTTGTAGGAAGTTGCAGGAGGCAGCCTTCCTGCATTATCACGGACAAGTGACAGTCTCTGTATACTCATCTATAAATGAGATTTAATATTATTCTTATATCTTGCAGAAGTGTCTTCAGCACTCCTTACCTCCCAGGCACTCACACACTATGGTAATGAAAAGCAGCTTGAGAACTGTAACTAGACTTTCAGAAATTACAAAAGTAGCACAATAAAAATAAACTATCAGAAGCTGTATCTTTCCATAATATCCTTAACACATTTCTACTTATTTTTCCAAAGCAGGTGAAATGCAAGGAAAAGATAAGTAAATTGCATCTGTACTGCCTTCACAAATAAAAAAGCAAAGTAGTGAGAATCACTGCTAATATCTTGATAGATGCCTTTGTCTCTTTTGAACAAGGACTGCCCTTTTTCCCAAATAGCCTCAGCCATTCTATGGTGCAGGATGCACTCAGTGTAAAGTTAGCTGAGTCCACAGTAGGAGAATCACTATCAGCAGCAAAACAGTGTACTTGCAAGTTACTAATAAATGATACCAGTTTCATTATGAAACTCGGGAAAAGCCTTTATCAATCTTGTACTGAAAGAACTTCCCAAATTCACTGCTGCTTTAATAGTTACGTCACACAAGAATCCCATTTAAGGAGTTGTTAGATGTGAGCCTGTATAAAATCAATCCATAGAACATGTTCAGGCCTGGCATAACTCCCCTCAGGAGTTACATAGATCAGGTAAGGCTGAATTTAAAATCAACAGTTGCATTTGCAAATTCAAAAGGTCTAATAAGTTAGACATTAAGGTGTCTGATTTTAGACCTGATTTAATGTAACAGAGGGATTTGTAATTCTTGTGACTTCTGGATATGCACCATATTGTATCATTAATGTCTGACAATGAAAACCAAAGCAGTCTTTTGCACATTTGATTCAGAACTGAAACCTTATTTGTTAAGGTAGTCAGATTTGGAAATTACCCATTAATTCCCCACCTTGACCAGGATATTCAAAAGGTTCGTCTGGGGAATAACTCCATAAATGGCAGGTGAGAATCAGGATCTCTTGCAAGCAAACCTGGTTCACACCCATATAAGCCACCTAAACCCTTTCCCTTGCAGATAGAAGGCTGCTGCTTGAACAATTAAAGTTGCTTAGACTGTTAGTATTACTTAAATCAACACTGTCGAATTCGGAAACCATAAATCAGAGCAGAATTCCCTGTTGTTCAGGCATTTTTGTTTAGAGAAATGTTATGAAAGACATTGCACATCTTTGAGTAGCTCCACAGTCACTATGGTAATCATGCCCCAGAGCTAAAATAATCATTTGGCACCTTCAACAGCAGGTATCACTTAGCCACAGAAACAGAACCACCTCCCTAGAAATGCTTCCATCTTAGTAATTGGATTGGAAAAGACAGTAGGAAAATGAGACAGAGAGGGGAAACTGTACTGCCTCTGCTTGTACCTCCTTTTTATTTTTGAGTAAAATGTATCAGTTCCCAGCAATGCAACCTGACACCTTTTGGGAACCCTGAACAATTCCTCCTTCTCCTTCCCCAGCTTCAATTTTCCAGTAAAAAACACATAGAGTACTCAAAGCCAGTGTGGACTACAAGTGCTGGCCATGTACTGCTTTAAAAATTATTTACCGTTTTTGCAAGGTTTCTTTTGCCAATGGGGGGCAACAGCATAATTAACCTTTTAACAAGAATATCCCAGATACTAAAATATTCTCTAGAAGAGATACAATATTATTCTGTCCAAAGGACTGAGATTTGTATCTTTTTATCTTTCACTCATTGTTCTTACCCTACGAGAACTGAAATCTCAACTCGGTTTTATGCTTCTCAGCTCTGTGTACATGTCCGACCTCGAAGGACACAGCACAGAAGCACCCTTACAAGTGTGCACTGAAAGAAACACGTGATATTTTTTACCGCCTGGATCAAAGCTTTGATACCTATACAATGCAAAATGCTGACCTCGATTTGCTCCACCAGTTCCAAGCTAATTTTTTTTTTTTTTTAGAAAATTTGTCTTTATGCTAGCCAGATTTCTGCCAAAACAGGTATCATGTTGTCTTTCTGCAGCTACAGTAATGCAGGTACACAGGCATTAGGCCAGTATAACCTTTGCCCTGACTCATCTGATGGAAATACTTCCATGTGCTCACATCAGATCTGCTTAATTTCTTCCTCCTGGTTGGTCCAGTATCACACAAGTCCAGCATGTAAAGACCATGGAACCATTTGAGAGCACAGCTGTGTGGTATTTTCGCTTCAGTTGCAAATCCAGCCCAAGAAATAACCAAAGTTAAATGAAGCCCTGCAACAATATAACCTCTTCACAGATTCAGCTTATGTGTGGTCTACAAACAGCTGTATCCACACAAAAAACCACCACGCTTCCACACGAAACCAGAATGCTGCTGTTTATCAGCTCTTCTACACCCAGCTGCCTGTTCCTGCCCACACGCTACCCCTTTACTGGGCTGGCAAAAGCATTTTTGTGGCTACACAGCAAACTAAAAATTGCCTGAGGATAAAAAGAAGACATTTTCTGGCTTCATCAGTTCCCAGAAAAAGTAACTGAGTAGCCATGAAACTGCTTGCCTGCAACCAATGTAGCAGTCCAGACGGGAAAAATAAGCTGGTTGCAGGAAAGATGGAACAAAACCAGCACTGATCAGTAACTTTTCAGCAGTAATAACCCAGAAAAGTCAGTAGGCTGCAGTGCTGAGAGAGGAAAGGTAAAATGAGAGCTGGGTGCAGAAATCAAACCACCTTCATAATGGGAAAACAGTATATGGGACTACATTTTAAAATGCAGTGAATTTGGTCTTATTCACATTAAAATAAGCAATATTGTGACTACAGTTATATAAATTGCATCAGTGTAAATCTAATGTTAAATTGCCAGGACCATAAGCATCTAGGCAGGAATTTAAATCTTCTCATATGGAAAAGCATATGGTTAAATTTTTGGCATTTCAATGGTTGAATGAACAGAACAACCACGCTAAGAATCCAGGCTGGCTGAAGGATTACCACAATATAGTTCTCCATAAGAAAATAGCTTTCATCTATGCAGCAAGTGCAAATGACAGAACCAGGAAGTGAGCTTTAGTACTCTTTGTCATGGCTATTTGTTGTCTTTGCTATACACAGCACTCTCCTTCATCAGCTGTTCTGTACTCATGATGTATCACAACTGAAATTACACATGCAAGAAAGCGAAGAACAGGACAATATGAAAATGCTGAAGAATAAGTCTCCCTGAACTATGGTCCCAAATAACTCTCCCTGTCATCTCTCTTACGGGGACAGACAGAATATTCTGGTTGAATGAATTCTTATATCTTGGAGTGAATTACTTTTCTTTCAAGCAATACTATCCACTGTTACATGCCATCAAGGAACTATGGGAAGTTCAGTACAAAGAGTAAAGTAAGCATTCCCATACCTTGAGTGTAGAAATTACATCACACTGAATCTTCTA